GACAACGTTTCATGTAACACCCTGAGTGTTGAAACATGGCCTAAAAGGTAAACTTAGCCTGTAAAAACATCAAAAACTTGGGCTTTTAATTTAAATATCACATTGATTGTTTTTCCTTTATTATGACATAAGCAGACTTAGCCATATTATGCTGAGAGGGAACGTACACTATCAATATAAATGCTGTAAATAATGATCTGTTCAGTGTTTACTGAGCAATGTTTTTTCACAGCACATAAAGAGTCTGATCGATAACATTGGAGTGAATTGATTTCCTTTAGATTCTGCCCACAAATCTCCTCAAAGTATGTTTTAGCAATAAATATAATTGTCAACCAATACATAAATGAAAGTGTCTCTCCAGGCGAATATCGAAAACATTCCTTTGCACGACATCCCGAATATTCGTCTATGCAATATGCTAATTCATCAAAGCCAAGATAATTGTTATTACCTGGGGTTCTTGCTGTTCCCCCGTCTTTTACCTGATTTCGATTATAGAGCCAACAGCACTATTCAGTCATTGATGGATACCCTAAGGTTTGTTGGCCCCCTGAAGCTGCACCACTAGTATGTGTGGGTTACTGGGTCTGCCCCTGACATGTGTTAAGGTTCCTTCTAACATGTAGAACAAGTATCTTGTTGCATTCCTTACCGGATAGGGATACCTGATATACAGGTGGGTTCTTGCAGCCACCACGGATGGCACCGTGCAGAAACTGAATGTGTAGAAATGTCACCAGCACACCAATGGTTCAATGAAATAAGCAAAAGTCCATTTATTGAAGGAACATCGCCATTCAAAAACAATGATTTTGAATGGCGATGTTCCTTCAATAAATGGACTTGTGCTTATTTCATTGAACCGTTGGTGTGCTGGTGACATTTCTACACATTGAGGCTCCTTCTAGCGCACATACATTGTTATATGACAATGGTTGCCTATTAACCTCAGTTGGGTTTGTAGCTGTTGGACTGGAGTCATCCATTTAATAAAAGTAGCTTGTGTATTCAATGTATATTATTTATTTTTGATACAGATCAGTAGAGATCAGTTGGGCTCCACCGGAGAATCCTAATGGTATTATTCTTGGATATGAACTTAGAAGAAGAACCTTGTATCCATATACCGTAGGGTGCAGCCTAACAATGGATGGAAATGGCCAATCATGCAAGGCTATGAAGTGCAAGAAAGGTGAAGAGATCTGTGGAGGAGCATGCTACAAACCTCACCTACAGGTAAGGCTGCTTTTTAACGGTGCATCTAGAAGCACAATCAGACAATTTGCAGCTCCCTAGCATCTGAGGGATTTTTAGTTCTAGTAGGTTGATGCGGGCTGGCAGTTTGGGCATCCACAATACAGAGATCTCTTCTTTATGGATTCATCCTCTAAATTGAATCTGTCTTCCATTTTATATTTTTAGAGGTAAAGGTCCTGTCCAGAAGCATGGTGGTCCAAAGGGGCCTGCTATTACTTGTTTTAGCCAAGTAATGTGCATTCCTCTAATTCTGGTTTTACTGCATTACTGATTTAGCACCAAACCCTGGACCCATGGGTATTATAAGTTTGTAAAAATTATGATAGCCTATTTGTTTTCTTCCATCTGGGAACAAAGGTTGCTTATAACTAATCAAAGTGAATATTTTATTTTATCATTCTCTGCTAAGGCCACTATGGTTATGTTTCTGTAAAACAGGGTGAAATATGAAACAAGTGTACAAACATCAATACAATACAATTCATACAGGAGACACTGTCTGAGCTCCTGATACTCAGAGTGTAACCTGCATATCAGTTTTTCAGTGAGCTAGCAGGAAAGCAGGGCTTAGCAGAGAGCTGGTGAAGGGTTGTTGTTTTTTGTTATATTGTGTGTGTCTGTGTGTTGGGATTTTGAAGTCTCACGTATTTTGGAATGAAAGGACAAAGGGTCCAATGAGCACAATTACCAGTGCTGGGGATAGGAATAAGTAGCCCAAACACCCCCGTCCCAAATACATACACACCCCCACCATTTTGGTGCAACAGAACTGCCTGCATGTTGCTAATGTTTTAAACTCTGAAGCCCTGCTTGACACATTTGTTTAACAGCCCGGTTAAATCGCTGGATTATCTTGTATTGAAAATCAATTTCTTTCTACTCAAAGTTGGGCGCTTGTTTACTTGACAAGTAGCCATGAAAAGACCTTCCATAATTTGTTAGAAGTGCTTTTTTTTTAAATTATTGTATTTTGCAGATTAATTCTTATATTAACTGGTGTTTAGGGAATGAATCAATATGGGAACTGCACAGCGGGAGACTCCAAATGGCTTTTATTGACAAATTGCTCTGAATAGTCTCTGTCGACGACACATAATGAAATAATGTCCCAATTTGTCAACAACAACACAGCAGTGGCAACGACTGAGCTATTAGTAAATTTACAAAATGCACCACGTAAGGAGACAGTAATTAAAAGGCCGAATTATCTGATTTGGAATGAAATATAAATTATTCTGCAGTGTACACATTTTGCCGTAGGTTGGGGCGAAACGCCATGCAAATAGCACTTATGGAACACTTTATTTTCATCCCTTCATTATCCGCTATGATTTTTTGTGTTATGTGATGTTGCTTTGCAATTATGTAATTGTAAATGAGAATATGAAATGTCATGGGGGGGAGAAATGAGCATTTGTGTCGGGGTAATTTAGCCGTTTGGTGACAAATTTGGTTGGAAACATCCCAAAATGACCCTTTTTAAATGCTATTAAAGTCATAATTGCTGTTTTTTTTTCTTTGTGGTCATCACTGCTTAAAGGGCATCCAACTCAATATTATTTTTTTTGGTGTAAATTTTACAAAGTAATTCCGAGCAACAAGTAAAACAGTTCAGTCAACTGCTAATATTATTCAGGAAATATTTCCAGTGTGTTAAAGTTGATTTATTTCAAGTTTCCTTTTTTCAAAAGACCAATCGGCAGGCCTGCAGCCTCTTGCAGGTTATTCTGTGCTTTGCTATCTGAAAGTACAGTGAGGGTAAAGCAGAGGTATCAAGTTCATGTATATATGTGTGTGTGTGTATATATATATATATATATTAAT